GGACTGTGTTTTGAAGAGTGCTTCATACCAAATTACAACGGCTGACCGACCATAAGTCAGAGATGCAGCTTTAGATACGCGGGTTGTACTCCTAACGAACTTTGAGTACACCGATAACATCGTGTTGTTGAATGGCCTATTGACACTGACCGAAAACGCTTGCAACAGTGCTGTGTCAGTGGAGTTTCAAGTCAACGCAAAGAATACGAAGTTTCTGAGGGAGTCAGCTGCGACCGCCAGCTCGAGGATACTGTGGAATATTATTACTATCAAGGAGATAGATCATTTCCATTCAGGACTCTGTTGACCACAGTGACTCACTGATTCTGAAGTGAATCAGCGTATCGAGTTGTGGCTAGCTGTATGGCGCATGGCAGGATTCGACTAGAAGAACGCATATAAAGATCAGCAGTCTGTAAGCATTGGTATTCGCGGTGTTGGCGTACGGTATCGAAGCACCTGTCGTCTTAAGGCGTTATGAAGTTCGTCTAAGCGGCTTCTAACAAAGCTGTCTGCGCAACATTCTGAAATACTGATGGCATTGCCGAGTTGCGAACGAGCCGGTACTGGCGATCACTGGGTCGGGAAAACTATGAGATGGATTCAACGAGCGCTGTCTGGACTGGTTTGATAAAACGACTTCAAAAAAATGTAACTATATTCAAAACCATTCCCGCTTTGGAGCCATTCATTGACACCAGAGCAGACTTGTTGGAAGACAATACAAATGGTAGAAAAGCCTGATCTGCAGGCGAAACGGAATATAACCATTTTTTCAACAGTGAACGCAGCTTAATGCCAACATAAAGTATCACTGCTAGCGATTAGCTCTATAAATCTGAGTAATCTGATGATTTAGCCCTGTTAACCACAGATGATGATGATAAAACAACGACAACATATGTCTGGTTGTTGGCGGATCAGAATTCTTAATAGAAACATTCGATCCACCGTATGGATGCTCACTTCTTATCGCGCAGCCATAACAGGTGATTAAGTACAATTCTAGGAAAGTATTTCCGTTGGTCTATGCAAAGTTAAACACTAATTCCCTTAGTGCTCTCTTTTCTCTGTTAACACCCTGAGCTTAATTGACTGAAGCGTTTAAACATAAGTTAACTTTTTATACTCCACATTTATGCCTTATATTGATCGTTCATCAGCTACCAATGTGTCCAGGAGAATTGCAGTCATAATGTGCATGTGTCAAGGAACATCGCCCTTTGTGTTACACTCTGGAATAGTCATCCTAGGATTCCATGCTGTCTAGACTGCTTGAGTGCCAGAGAGCTTAGACCCTCCTTTTGGCTGACTGCACAGCGGGATGAATTCTTTGCTTAAAAAAATAAGCAGGTGATATGGCAAAGCTATGCTACTTCAAGATTCGTGCAAAACCCAACGACACATCCACTGTACTTATTACCCCTGATTTTGAATCAACTAAATAGTCTTTCGAGTCTGTTCAGTCTTTCCATTTCCATTGATCTGTCTGACTGCCAAACATACAACCGAATCAAAATGTTTATCCACATTCAATTAGATATAAAAGCAAAACCGATTACTCTTTAATCGAATGGCGAAATGCAGTGCCAATTCCATAGTTCAAAATAAAATTCGCCCTCACCGTTTGATTGCACTGAAAGGCATGACTCAAAAATAAAAAGTTAAACAATAATTGCTGAATCCACTACCACACGATGTATGCGAAATTTCGATCGGAGTGTAGTAGTGACTTCAGATCGACTGGAGTCGCCAGTTTCAATTGAAGGCGCAAATTTTCCTTATCGAAGCTCATCGTCATCCGAGCTATACTCTTATTAATAACCATTAGTGACTTTTTTTTCGAGAAGTGTACGCCAAGAACTTCGACGGATTCCAAAGGTGGTGGATCGAACATCGCC